CTAGAATCAAAAGAATAATACTGCATGCGTTAAATAAGGTTGGAAAACAAGGCCAAACTAAGCCATAGTTTTAGAAATCAAAATAGTCACTAATTCTTGGGAGAAAGGTGAAGGTAGTAACTGGAATGGGCATGGAGTACAGAGAAATTTCAACACAAACAAAACACACACCATAAAAAAAAAAGATCTCAGACTACATTAAAATTAAAAACTGCTATTCATCAGAACATAAAAAGCAGGAAAAAAGCCACAAATCTAATAATATCTGCATTTCATATAACAAAAGATTAGTATCCAGAACGTATTATAAAGTACTCTTATAAACCAGTAAGAAAAAGACATAGAAAGTAGTAGGAAAATTAGCAAAAATCCTCAAAAGGAACTTCGCAGAAAATAAAACACAAATGGCCAAACATATGAAACAAATGTCTAATTGTATTAGTAATCTGGGAAAAGCCAATCATAAGCTTTAGAACCTACCAGACAAAAAGAAAAATGTATGGCAATAGGAACTCTTACACACTGTTGGGAGGACTTGAAATTTGTAAAGCCACTGGGAAAAACCTGGTGTTAGTTAGTTAATTTAAAGATGTACATAACCTGTGCAATTCCACTCTTAGGTAATATCTTACAGCAATATCTCTAAACAGGAACAGGAGTATTCTTAGCATTTTAGGAGATTAGGTATTTAGCCACTGACCATTACTGCTAGTAGCAATGCTTCCCAACTCCCCATCACTGTGACAAAAAGAAACATCCACACACACTTCCAAATTGGAGCAAGGGGCAGATACACAGCTCTGAGTGAGGGCCACTGCCCTAGAGAAGGGTTTTTTCAACCTGAGTACTACTGACATTCTGAACTGAATAATTCTTTGTTGAGGGGGGCTCTCCTGTGCATTGCCTCTGCACTAAATACCAGTAACAACTGGGCAAGTGATGATAACCAAAAAAGGCTCCAGATACTGCCAAATATCTCCTGGAGGATAAAACCATCCCTGGTTGAGAACCACTGTCCTAGAGAAACCTTTGCAGTAAGTGCATCAAAAGATATGTACAAGAATGTTCAGAGCAGTACGTTGGTAACAGCAAGAAACTGGAAAAATCAAAATGCTTATCAACACTAAAGTGAGAAAATAAATTGATGTATAGTCTTATGATGCAAGACTATATGGCAGGGAAATTGACCTACAGATTCCTGCAACAAAACAGATGAATCTTAGGAACATAATTTAGATGATCAAAGCAAGTCAAAGAAAAATATGATTCCTTTTTATATAAAATTCAAAAACAAGCAACATAAAACAGAACCTTGTTTAGAGTTACAAAAAAGCATGTTGAAATTATAAAGAAAGGGCTGGGCATTGGGCTCACGCCTGTAATGCCAGCACTTTGGGAGGCCGAGGTGGGTGAATCACCTTAGGTCAGGAGTTCGAGACCAGTCTGGCGAATATGGTGAAACCCTGTCTCTACTAAAAATACAAAAATTAGCCAGGGATAGTGGAGAGTGCCTGTAATCCCAGCTAGTTGGTTTAGTGAGGCAGGAGAATCACTTGAACCTGGGAGGTGGAGGTTGCAGTGAGCTGAGATCATGCCACTGCACTCCAGCCTGGTGACAAGAGTGAAACTCAGTCTCAAAAAAAAAAAAAAGAAAAGAAAAGAAAAAGAAAAAATTATAAAGAAAGACAATGGAACAGTAAACACAAGATTCAAAGTACTGTTACCTTTGTGGGAAGGAAACAGTGTACAAATGTGGAGGCATACATAAGAATTTTACTTTTTTTTTTTTTTTTTTTAAGGAAACAGCGTCTTGCTATGTTACCCAGAGTGATATTCACAAGCATATAAGAATTTTAAAGGCAATGGTAATGTCCTATTTTCTAACTGGATGTTTGGATTATTGTTGTGTTTTTTTTATGCCCTACATAATACATATGTAGATATTATGCCTATTCAATATTTAATAACAAAAATTAAACGATTAAAAAAAAAACTATTGTAGCTAGAATGCTAAGCTGGTTCCTCTGATTCAAGTTCCCTGGTATCCACACCTTGGGTAGGCGGAATATCACTAGTTTAAAAACCTAAAATCTGAAATGATCCAAATTCTGAAATGCTCCAGAATCCGAAATTGACATGATGTTCAAAGGAAATGTTTATCGGAGCATTTCAAATTTTGAATTAGGGAGGCTCAACTGGCATAATGAAAATATTCCAAAATCCAAAGAAATCTCAAAATACAAAACACTCCTGGTTCCAAGCATTTTACATTAAGGAATACTAAACCTACAACATCTTCTTTTGAAGGTGGATAGCACCCAAAACTTGCTTCTAACTAATGGAATATGGCAAAAGTGATGAGATTTTGAGGATATGGTTTAGGTCCCTAATGAATTGACTTTAGATTAGTAGAAAGGGAGACCATTCGGAATGAATTGGATCTAATCAGTTGAGGCCATCAAAAGAGGGTAAGAGATTCTCTTGCTGGTTTGGAAGAACCAGGTTCCACAAGTTCTTCAGGTGCAAGGAAATAAATTCTGCAACAAATTCATCATCTTAGAACAGGACCCTGAGCCTCCTTGAGCCTCAGATATCTGAGACTGGCCCTCACAGACACCTTGATTGCAGTTTTGTGATATCGTGAGCAGAGGACCCAGCTAAGCCATGCCTGGACTACTACTACTGCTACTACTACTACTGCTACTACTACTACTACTTTTTTTTTTCTTTTTGAGACAGAGTCTCAGGCTGGAGTGCAATGACACAATCTCAGCTCACTGTAACCTCCTCCTCCCAGGCTCAGGTGATTCTCCCACCTCAGCCTCCTGAGTAGCTGGGACCACAGGCACATGCCACCACGCCTGACTAAATTTTAAATTTTTTTGTAGAGATGGGGTTTTCCAACATTGCCCAGGCTGGTCTCAAACTCCTGGGCTCAAAATACTGGGATTACAGGCATAAGCCCCCACGCCTGGCCTATGCCTGGACTTCTGACCCACAGAAACTGTGAAATAATAAATAGGTATTGTTTTAAGCCACTAACCTTGTAGTAATTCGTTACACAGCACAGAAAGCTAATATAAACACTTTTTAGAATTTTTATTCCTAAGAAAAAAGACAACTCTATCATTAATCATTGTATTGAGAAATTAAACACCTAACTTTGCTATTGGGTCTCCATAAACAAAGAATTTTGAACTTCTCCTGTTTAGTGTGGCTGAAGCAGATAAAAAGCATGATTCTCAAAGCTGTACGATCTCAGGTATGGATCATTCACATCAGTAAGTTAAAAGGGGCAGTACATGCTCATATTTACTCAGTTAAAAAGACAGAAAGCAACTGTCAAATCCACACTTACCAAATGAACAGGTTAAAAAATAAACATAAAAAAAGTCCTCAAAAAATCCCTGAGAGTATATAATACAATCAGAGTTGTGGGAAGTTTCCAACAACTCTGAGGATCATACTGCCTTCCCTTATAGTCTACACTCAAGTGAAGAATTATTTCCTATTTTTCTTAATCCTAAAAGCACAGTGTTTGACACATAGCAAGTGTTTATGATCTGTTGAATAAAATAACTCCATTTCAAAAGGAGAATATCTGAGGCCCAATGATCTACCCAAAGTCACACTGTGTTAATGGCAGAACCAAGACTAAGATAAGGTCTCCTCTCTGTGAATCAAGTGCTTTCTTCCTGTGTCAGAATTCAATACTTAATTATTGTCAACCCTCGTTAAATACAACACATACCATAGAAATCATTAACTGAGTATTAAATATTCAAAATAATTTTTCATAAAATTAATTCCATCTGCCTCACTGTTTTGTGAGCCTGTCTGTCCAAAGTTCTTACCACTTATGGTACTAAATAATTAACAATTTTCTGCTCCACATAAACTAGAAAATGAAATCGTTCTATTGATCTGAATCAATAATTATACTTTTAATTTTCTGAGGCATTTATTAGCCTAATACAGGAAACAACAATCTCTTCCCAGAATAATCAAGAAAGAACCAAAGTAGTTAATGCTATCCTTTAAATGGAGAGGAGCCTATACGCCTTTTTTAAACAGTCATCAATCAATCCTAGTAAAAAAAAAAATATAAAATACTTCAAAATATATGTGCCTCACAGTAGTCTGAATATTCTCTTTAGTGACACCTGCTTTTTCTGCTTTGAAACATTTCTTTTGAAATAGCCCACCATTCAAAATATTTTAGAGATGTCATAAATGTACGTAAACAGGTACCAAAAGTTTTATGGTCCCATCTCAACATATACAATTTTAAAAGTCATGTGACAGTATTTTTAAAATGTTTAATGTTGATTATATAACTTCTTTACTTTTAAAGGGAAAAAGCCCTTGCATTAATACAAAAAATGCTGATTTTAGGGAATAGGTTCCTACTTAGGAATTTAACTAATTTCAAGGAAACATAAGGATCTCTTTGCAACCCTTTCATTTTCTTGGCAGAGATAACAGAAATTGTACCTAGCTAATGGTTAATGTGGAGTAGGAGGATATCACAGAGTGGTACAAAGTAGGACACTAGAATCTTTGATAATTTCTCTTTATCTGTAAAACAAGAAACTCTAGTTACTTAGTCAGTAGTTGCCAGGTATGAGATGAGGTGAGGGGTTTATGTTTGATGGTGGTACTGATGCATGCAGGCTGGAATCTTACTAGTAAGAGTCTGTACAGGGAGGATCCTATCTCCACACCACTTACCCATTCTGCATGGATTCAGCAATCCTCTTCACATTGTTATGTTAAAAAGTGGTACCCAATTCTTTATAACAAGAAAATGATAAACTTCTATCAATCTAAGAATGTTAAAAAGGGGAAAAGGTTAAGGGTTTATTTTCATGACCTACTTCTTATAGTCAAATACATATCAGCAGGTTTCTCAAGTTAGTTGAAATAGGCCCATCCAAAAAGAGAAAGGAGAGAACTCTCACACAAGTCATCATCACCAAAGGTGAATTAAGAGGACTTACTGTTAAGGAAGCAATCCCTTTGTGATAGAATTTTAAAGATTCAGCAATGCAAGAAAGTGCTGAACTATAATTTTCCTCTTGCAACCCAGTGAGACACTGTTCTGCATGTGAAAACTCCTTCAAACTATTTAGCCAGAAGTAGAAGTGTTCTGAGGCCACCTGAGTCAGCAAACTCTGATAAAGCTCTTTGGCCATGTCATGATTACCCTAAAAACAAAAAAAGAAAAGAAAAAAGAATAGAAGGAGCACATGGTGAGGTTCTTACATTGAAAGAGTTGATGCAGCAGCTAAAAGAGAAACCCAAACCTAGGATATGTCTGAAGAATCATTCCTCATATTATGTAATTCTCTGAGACTCTGTCTAAATATTTCCTCAGAGAAAATATGCTGAGTTGCTTTTATGTAACATAATGCTTGAAATTCTTTACTAAAACAGTTCCAAAAGAGAAAATAAATGGAATTAACTATAAACCAAGTCTAGAACTTTAGCCCAAAATATAGAAAGTATAAATACTTTTTAATGCTATTCTAAATGAACTATTTAGTGGGTAAGAGAAACCCCAGGGGAAAAGGCATAGTTGTTGGGAGAAATGTGAATAGCACTTAATGCCTGGGGCCAGGGATGCTCAATGTCCTGCAATGCTTGGGACAGAACAGTAAAATAAAGAACTGTCCTGCCAAGAGTGTGTGCTCCTCCCCCATTTGAGAAGCAACATAAAATTAAGAACATGCACTTCAATCACCTAGAGTAATGCTTTCTCAAACTTTGGTCTCTGGAGTTCTCCCCAAAGGATTTTTTTTTTTTTAAATTTAGTTTTAGTAGAGACAGGCTTTTGCTATGTCAGCCAGGCTGGTCTCAAACTCCTGACCTCAAGAGATTCGCCCACCTTGGCTTCCCTCAAAGTATTGGGATTACATGCATAAGCCACCCCACCCGGCCAGGATTTCTGTACTAACCAAGGTTTCTATTTCCTCTCAAACAAAATTAATAAAACTTGTTAGGCTTTCCATATGGCTGAGAAGAGTACAGCATACTAAAGCTTTCCCATTTCTACTTCAGAATGACACGGTTGGGGAGAGGAACAAAGATGTGGTATACTGAGAAGGGAAGATAGAAACAGTGGGTGGTAGGTGGCCTTGGTTATAACGATACAGAGCAAAATGAAAGTGGCACTAACAACCTACAGCCAGAAAAGGCCCAGATTTTAACTTCCTCATTACTAATACCAACAATATATATACCATTCTTTTATGATAAAAGTTAAAAATCAGGTCCTTTCCTTCCTCATCTTCAGAACTTATGACTAAAAGGTTATTCAACTTTATTTTTAGTTTTGACTACGACTAATAATCATACAGTTGAAGGTATATGACCTGACATTTCCGCCAACCCAGTTCACTCAGAAGGGTAACACATACCATTCTGGAAGCCTGTCTGGCAATACGGTATACAGTCCATCCATTGGAGACACTTTCAAGCTGCTGCTTAATTACTGCCTTACTTTCCACAGATAATGCCTTCTGACTTGCTACAAAAATCACAGTAGCCAAACTCACCTAACATTGGGCAAGAAGAAAACCAAGAAAATCATTTAATTTTATCCAGTGTCATTGATAACCTACCCCAAAGGGAGGAAAACTAATTAGAGCCCACTGCAAAAGAACAAAATTTGTTTTCCATTGACATTTATTTAATTTTTTATTTTGAAGTCATTAAGTAATTTATTCCATTCACTCAGGGCACTCTTTATAATAGCAAATAAGTAGAAGCAATATCCACAATATGGATAAATAAATTATATAACATAATCACACAATGAGATACGTAAGTAAAATGGATAAACTAGAGATAGACTTACCAATATAGATGACAAGGAAAATAGGCAAAAATATGCAAAATGCAAAAGATTACAAGCGGTATGATAAAGTTTACATAAAGTTAAAAATATGCAAAATACTGCATATTACTTAGGGATATACACTTTGGTAGTAAAAGAATAACAGGCATGGGAATGATAAATATCAAATTCAGGATAGTGGTTACCTAAGAGAAGGGAGAAGATGCTATCAGCAAGGTACACAGGGGGCTTCAACTAAACTGTTAATACCTTTTTCTTAAGCTAGATAATGAATGGAAGAGTCTTCACTGTATTATTCCTTAGATTTTTTTGAGTATTACATTTCGTAATTTAAGACTATCTTAAAGTAGTACTCACAAAAAAGAGATCAGGACCATTAGTTCAAAATGCCACTACATAATAAATAACTTAGCTAACTGCCTCTTAATATTTCAAAGCTGATTCATATAAAGATCCATACATTTGGTCAAGGTAACCTTTTCGGGCAGTAAATGATGAGATGGTGTCAATCTTTTATACAATTCCCTCTGGAGGATTAAATATAAAACAGGCTTGAATAAGTCATTTCATTATATTTCTTCCCACAATATGGGATGGCGACCTTACAACTTTCATTTAATTTACAATTATTTAGAATATAGCCTACTCTCAGTCCTGCAGAACTTTTCAACTAAACATCCTATAGCTTCCACAGTTTCTGTTTCTTTCTAAGCATGTACCTTTCCTAACCCCAAGGGTCTACAGAAGCCTAAACTGAATCCTAAACAGCTAAAGAGGTCCTGGAATGGAAAACATAAATTTGGGCTAATTTATGGTCATTATTGTCATTAGATTTTTAACTTCTATTTTCTGAAGTACAAAATAGGGTTTAGTTCATTATTTACTTCGTATAAGGAAGAAAAAAGTTTCATTTTCATTTTGTCCTTTGTAATAAAAGAAAAACATGAGATTGAAGGCTTTGGCTATACTAAGCTGATTTGACAGGGTTTAGGAAGAAAGCAGTTTTAGAGGTGAACAAAACATGGCTTTCTAAATCACAAGTGAAAAAAGTAAAAAGCTCATACAGCCAATTCTATTTTGACATCAGCACACTCTTTGGTCTTAGGTAATGAATTTAATCTATTGTTTGTTCTGTTTTTTAAGTAAAGTCAAACAGTAATGCTAACTTAAAAGTAATTCCCACTAGACCAGATCCTAGTCATTCAAAGGAGATTCAAAATGTGGCTTTTTACCAGAAGTTCTTGTTGCTTGTCTGTGGCTGATCGTCCAATCACCTTGTACAGCTCCATGAGGTCACCAAGCATCCCATCACCCAGCACCGGCAGTTGCATGGCAATGGCTGCCAGGCAATGGCACATCAAAATCCGGGCAGCATCTTGAGCACTGTGCAACTGAGTCAACAAGGTCTCAACCACTGACTGGCTAAGATGGGGCCTGCCCTTGGCTAACTTCACCATACAGTTTAGAGCAATCTGCACGCCAAAAAGAAAATTAACTAGTTACATTTTGAAGATACAGATGAAGCTTTAAAGAAAAGAGCTTTGTACAGGTTACTGGGGAAAATCAAGGGCGAGGTTTCTTGTAGGCATAGCATTTTTCTTCATAAGAAACACGAGGTACTGAATCCCACATTAGGGTTTGTGAAGTGCACTACGTTTAAAATAACAAATTAGGACTGCACGTCAACCACTCATTTCAATCTAAGACTATCAAAATACTTTTAAGAAAGATGGAAATCATAAGGAAGAATGCTGAAGAGGCAAATATATGCCAAATGTCACCACCATTGTACTATCATTACTTTTCAGGAACTGCTTCTGAAGTGTGGCTTGTAAACTATGCCAGCATCTCCCAGAAGGAAAATAAAAATATAGATTCCTGGGCCCTACCCTAATGAATTAACATACGTGTGTGTGTGTGTGTCTGTGTGTGTGTATGTGTGTGTTGAGGCTACCGAGGGTTCAGTTTTAAAAAGATGCCTTAGATGACTCTAAGTACACTCAAGTGGGAAAGAGATTCCTAATTTTCTCTTATTTCTCAACTGAAATCTAAAAATCAATTTGGCTACAGAATTTCTCTTATTAAGGCCTTGTTAAAGGCATCACTAATATCCAGTCAAAAAACTAGAAACCTAGAAATATTCCCACTTTTACATAGCTAACATATTCTTTTGTCAAATCTCCAATATTCACTGTTAGCACCTTTCCAATCTCTCTACCACATCATAAATCTCTTCCTAATTCCAATTTCTTGAAAAGATGGGCCCTTCAATCCATCCTTCACAATGCAAACACGCAGCTATCAGTGGGGTGTTAGGCACACACATAAACTTTAGAGTCTGATAAATGCAAGGGCTGAAGCTCAGCTTGCCGCTTATTAGCTAGGTGGCTTTGAACAAGGTACTTCCATCTCTCTCAGCCTTAAGTTTCTGATGTGTATAAGAGAGAAACACATTTCATTATAGGGTTATTGAGGGACTGAAAGAAATGTATAATATAAGTCTTCAACGAAGTTTGGCACATAATAGACATTCAAATAACAATAACTATGACAAAGGTTACCATTACTTTAAATTATATTATCTCCTCATTATCTATAGAATCAAAGCCATAATAGCATGTTATTTGATATCCTCTATGATTGAACTACTTTTCCAATCTCACATTATTTCATCCAGCCACAGTGGGCTAGTCACCATTCTTCCACCACAACAGGTACATTCTTACACTCAAGTCTTTTATAATAGTGGTCATTGGGCTCAATCTTTCCTCATTACTGTAATTCGATTCCACCTTTCATAACTTAACTCATATGACACTTACTTGAAGTCTTCCCTAATATCCTTGGTTAAAGTTAATCATTCCCGACTCTGACCTCTCATTAGAACTGCACTTCTTCTGTGAAGTGTCAGAGAATGTATTGTGTTCTGCTTGGTATTATAGTCTCCTATATAAACATCAGTAGCCTATTCTAGATGGAAAGCTCTGCTATTACAGGAACCTTTCTTGGCCATCTATGTATGTCCCACTGTGCTGAATCCAGCATTTTACTGACACCCACAATTGTTGGAAAAAAGATTTGCTTTTAAAAAAAGTTTTAAATGTACTGTGGTTCCAAGGGGATTCTGAGGATCCCCTCAGAATGTGTTGCCAAACACCTGTTGTCTACTTCTCTTCCCTACTTCTTATTAGCTTTCACTTAATGATATTACTATCTTTATTGTTCATCACTATGACCATATCACTACTTTCCTTAACATGCTAAAATGAGCCATGACTTCCTCCAAACCATACCTTAGACAAGCTAACGCTCTTACATGTACCAATGTTTATCTAAGTTTCTTACTTCTATTAACTATGCTTTTCCTTATTAATTTTGCACCATCACAAATTATATTTCATGTTTCACTCCAAAAAGAGTAGTCTCACTTCACATTTTAATTTTTTTTTTTTTTTTGAGACAGGGTCTCATTCTGTCACGTAGGGTAGAGAACAGTGGTGCAATAATGGCTCACTGAAGCCTCAGTCTCTCGGGTTTGAGCGATCCTCTCACCTCAGCCTCATGAGTAGTTAGGACTATAGGTGTGTCCCATCATGTCCAGCTAAACTTTAAAAAATTTTTCCAGAGATAGGGTCTCAGTATGCTGCCCAGGCTGATCTTGAACTCCTAGGCTCATGCAATCCTTCCACCTTGACCTCCCCAAAATGCTGAGATTACAGTGCCTGGCCTCATTTCACATTTTAAAAATCTTACATATCTCTAAGATGATTCCCGTAACTGAGTGAAAGTGAAAATTCCTTAAAATATTCTTCCCTTGGCTTATAAACTAGGGCTTATGCCATTGGGAAATTAATGAACGCTTATGTTAAATTAATGAACATTTCTGAGTTTGGCTGCAGTCATTTCATCAGTTTTTTTTGTGGTTTTATCAGTTAGATTAAATCAGTGTGGCTTTATCAGCTAGATATAATCACTTAGATTAAAACTTCTAAGAGTACCAGAGCTATATCTGCTTAACTTTGCTTTCCATTGCCTAAGACCATCATATATATCTATTACAACTTAAAAAATAAAAGTTTTCACCTTTAAAGTGGCCTGAGCACCTGGACTATCATCTTGACTACAAAGTACCAGTAGGGATTCCAGGCCAAAGACAGCGTCTTGTTCCAGTGCCAAAAGATCTAGAAGAAAAACACTAAGCTTTATGATGGTCAAGTGATGTGTGTATAAACACACACACACATATATATGCAAACACACATGCTCTCTTAGAAAAAACATTAAGGAGTTTAAGATACAGGGAATTATTAAATGGATGAACCTAACCTTCCTTGAAAAAGTACACGTGGCATTACTTCAAGAATGTAAAGTCTATCTTCAGACTTTATTTCTACCACTTTATTGAAGTATTTATAAAAATATACACATTAAATCAAGAGCTAAAGCCACAAAGCTATAAATAAAGCAAAACTGAAATAGTATCACCAGCTTAGCTAAGGAAAATACTAAGAACAGCAAACTATGCAGTATGTGTTAATCTCCCTAATCGGAAATAAATTATGCAGGTCCATTTTTACCTAAGATATAACAGTTTTCAGCTTCTAATGAAAGCTGAACCACTTTTAGAAAATAATGACTCCATATAACCTTATTAATGTTTTAAGTCTGACCATAAAGAATGAACCTCTTAGATGTCTCATGAAATAGCAGTACTACAACATTTTTTCACTACCATAGGGTTAAAATTTCTCTGAAGGTTTTAGAAAGTTCTGAATATATTGGTTACCTTTAGGTTAATATATTTCAGTGTGTTCTCAATACTGAAACAAGCAGTTTTCTATGTTACATGGGAGAAAATACTCTTTGCTATGCCAATGTAAAACAGGCTTAATTATTCAACTTTAAGAAATGTTTCCTGAGTGTTGGAGCTTAGCAAACAGAGTAAAGGCTAGTGAAGGTCAGGATGCTAGAAAAAACAGGTACTTGGAACAAGCAGTGCTGAAGGCTAGGGGGGATAAGAGGAACCACTAAGATTGTAATCCTTAATAAAGATCAAAATCAGCACTGAAACAGATGGAATATCCAAAATGCATTTCTTGTTCTTGAACACAAGTCAAAAGATGTTAGGTAGACAACAAAATATGTGCATTATTTTCCTTGCATGTCCTCGATTATCCAAGTCAGCTTAATGCCACATATACCTAGAGTAAATTCTGTGAAAATTTAATTCACATTGGTCTGCGAATTCACTTGCCTCTAGGTGAAACTATTTGTTATTTAAGTCCCTTGAGAACCTAAGTAAATTTTCTAGGTTTTTGTATAAGTGAACATACCACCTTATACAAAAGGGGTAGAGAACTAAGCAATCTCTATCCACCAGCACCATATACGCAAAGGCAAGCAGTGGAAGGAAATGGGCAATGCTCCATAAAACCTTTCAATTCCACTCCCAAGGTCTTAATCTCTTTATTATTTTTCACAAGGATAAAGTAGTCTTGAGAACACATGCTCTAAGAACACTATGAAAGGAGTCAATCTGTAGATCAAGGCTCACAGGCTAAAAACAAGGGATTGAAAAAAATCAAACAGAATTCTGTCCAAGGTCTAAACCAAAGTTTATATATAATATCAATCCTGATCAAACTTACCTTTTTCTTGACAAGAAACAGTTATATTAGTTAGGACTCTAACTCCATGAGCTGCAATGCCCCTGTTATTATGGTAACAGCACTCTTGGGCTAATTTGACTAAATCAGAAGATCTGGGAGGAGAACTCACATTTCCTAAAAAAGCAGAGAAAAGTAGTAGAGACTCTAATTCAAATAATTCAAAAACAGTTCAGCTTATAGGTTCAATTTTCCTAATTTTTGAGAAAAATCTCTAACAATAAACTTCAACGAAATTTCCTACCACAATCCCACTATCAATACGTATCAGCATTTCTCTCCATTAACGTACTTAAAATAGGTATGTGCCAACAGTTTTGTAATGACTAAGATCTAAAATCAACATATAATTTCTTTAAAAATATTAATAAAAATTGACTAACAGTACAAAAGCCAAAACAACTATCCTAAGAGTTCAAAGGAATTCTCATTAAAACAGGTATCATTATAGGCCTCTTGTCAGACAAAACCACACTTTCAAGATAGGAGAGAAAAGAGAAAAAAAAATAAGTTTGCTTTTTTTTTCCATCTCAGATTGCTAGCATACATTTATACTTCAAAGGGTTTACATAAGAATTCATGATTTTAGAGCTGGAAAGAATTTTGGAATCATCTAACTTAACACACCCTATTTTTACAGATGAAATCAAAGCCCAAAGCCCCAAAATTTTAAGAATCTTGCCATTAAGGTCATAAAACTTACTAGTCATGTACTAATACCCCTGTTATTATACTCTTCTGCTTTATACCTTAAATATCATGCTATAGATTGCAAAATTTTTTAAATTCACATTTGAAATTCTGGAATGCAAGGTTCATGTTGTAACTATTGTAATTTACAGTAGAGAAGCCCTCAGTTATAACTGCATAAGCTTCAAGAAAATAAGGAGATTAGAGCTTGTTCCACCACTTAAAAGAGTCTCCCATTACTGTCTTCCTTTCCTCTGCTTATTTTTCCATGATTCCTGTCAACTTCAACTTTCTCTCTCATACTGAGGGTGACTGTATTTTTTTGAGGCTGAAAGGGACACTATTAAGAATTACAATAGGCATAAACCATGACTATCTGAGGTGGCGTGGGACCTATGGTCACTTTATTGATTTCTGGTTTAATATAATACAAGCTTAGGAGACAGCCTCAGTGTTTTTTTGGTTTTTGTTTGTTTTGTTTTGTTTTTTTTGAAACAGTCTTACTCTGTTGCCCAGGCTGGAGTGCAGTGGTACAATCATGGCTTACTAGAGATCACAGCTCACTACAGTCTCAAACTCCGGGACTCCAGCGATTCTCCCACCTCAGCTTCCAAGTAGCTGAGAACACAGGTGCATGGCACCATACCCGGCTAATTTTTTTGTTTTTTGTAGAGACGGGTTCTTGCTTTGTTGCTCAGGCTGGTCTCAAACTCCTGGCTTCAAAAGATCCTCCCAACTTAGCCTCCCAAAGTGTTGGGATTACAGGTATGAGCTACCATGCCTGGCCCCTTCAGTGTTTTTAAGTTAGGCAAAACATTAGAAAGATGAAACTGTATCTTTATTTTTTCAAAACTGTGGAAATTGTATTTCCTCTATTCTTTTTGTCCATGTGATATGCACAATGCGGAGTCATCTATAAATTTACAAACATGTTTTATAACTTATTTTTTCTTTGTTTTATTCCCAGCAACACTCACCATAGAAGACTTAGGGGAAAAAAAAAAAATAGAAAACTCCAAAGAACAATACAAATATCATACCAAATTTCACAAACCAGCATAAGCTTACTGTTAATTTTCTGAAATATTTCTTTTAAATCTTTTTCCCCCTATGTACAACAGTACAATTTAAAAACTCACACATAATCAGGATATGTAGATACTGGCCAATATCCTGCTTTTAAAATCTAATATTTTTTAGCCTTTTCCTATGTTTTCTAGGAATAAGATTATTTTTAATTTAATTTTTATTTATTTTGTAATGATTTTCTAAGATAAACTCACAAGGCTCGCACGGTACAACAAAGAGTAGAAAACGGTAAAAGGCTAGTGAGAGAAAAGTTTTCCTCCCCGACCCAATGTTATCAGCTTCTTGTGTAACATTCCAGAGAGTCTATCGACTTACAAGCATATTTCTTTCTTTCTTTTTCCTTTTCACATACTGTTTTGCACCTTGTTTTATTTTTCTTTAAATATTATATCATGGAGACTGTTCCATGCCATGTTTTCTTTTTAGTAAATTGCATTGATTTTTACTGCAGTGATGTGTCATAATTTCTTTGAGTCCTCTATTGATGGACCTTTTAATGCTATTACATCCTCCACTGAGGGATAATATTTTGCTATTATATAAAATGGTGCTAAGAATAATCTTGTATTTATGCCATTTCTCAATGTGTGACTATGTAAATAAGATAAATTCCTAGAAGTGGAATGTCTGAGTTATCTGTAATTTAATGAGTATTTCCAAATCACCTATGTACAAGCTTAATAATTTACATTAGCGGCAGCAATAACTGCTTACCCACACCCTTGTCAACATACCATGTTTATCAAACTTCTAAATCCTTGCCAATCTGATGGATTAAAATTATTTCAAGTGTTGTTTTAAGGTGCATTTATCTTAAATATGTCTGATACTGAACATCTTATATATTTGAGCCATTTGTTAGTGATGATTTAGACATACTAAATTTAAGTTTGCTGTTTAAACTACTTTTGGCTACACTGAAAAAACCTAATCAACAGAAATAAAGATTTACCATTATTTATGGAAATAATCTAACTTTGGAAAATCCTTGACTTTTATTTTTTATAAATATTATCTAGTCTATTTAAGCCTTTGCTTAATTCCATATATAAGCCAAAATTAACAAACTTCAATAAAAGGACAAATACCTAGCTTGAAAAGTGTTTAAATATTATAACCCGACATAATGCTAATACATGTATTTGGAATTAAAAAATAAAGAAAAAGAAAGTTATGCATGTAAGTCAGTTTGGTACAAAAAAGAGAATTCTGAGTCAGACCACTGAGTTCAGGCCTAGGCTCACACACTTCACAAGTATGTGAACTTTGGACATACCGTCAAACCTTTGTGAGTCTCAGTTTCAATACTTATAAACTCCTTTGCATATGCCTCACTTGAAAGGCTACTTGTATGGGAAAGCTCTCATCTATTCTAATATATGATTAAGACTTTGTCTACCACAGCTCTTTCAAAGTGCAATGTCGGTGAAGGATGTTAACTGCAAGCTAAGAAATACACTGGCTGATTTATGCAGAAAAAGAATAAATTGAAAGCACCCTAGGTATATGGTAGGTTGTTTCTAAAGAAGGCTGTGATAATCTCTCACATCCCTTGTGGACATGCTCCTTTACCATGTGATCTTCCAATTCCATGTGACTTGCTTTGGCCAATAAAGCACTGGAAAACAGGCTGCAAGCAAAAGGTTGACAAGTGCTTGTGTGTTGGTGGCTTGCTTTCCTTTAGCTTCAACCAACATCCTGAAAACAAGCCCAAGCTAGCCCACCAAGAGTTGCATGGATAAAAACTAAGGTGCCTTGGCAGAAAGCCTTTCAATTTCTAGCATGTGAATGAGGTCATCTTAGACCATCCAATCCTGGTCATACATGACCGTAGTCACATAAGTGACCCCGAGTGAGGCCAGTAGGACTGCCCAGCTGAGTACAGTTAAAATGGCTGATTGACAGAATTAGAGCAAATAAAAAGGTCATGGTTTTAAGCTACTCGTTTTGGGGTGATTTTGTTATGTAGCAATAGATAATTGATAACGTACTTCACAGAATCACTGGAAAGCCTGCAAAATTAATAGGAAAACAAGGTGAGAAAACAAATGAGAAAAAGGCCAGGGAGTAACCAAGACAACAGCCCAAAAGACCATGCATGGAATTAGTCCAGTGAGGACACGGCAGCCATTGTTACTGATTATTTCACGTCACAGCTTAACTTCTGTCACAGGGTACCAGACATAGCAAACACCCACTGCTAGAGTATATTCTGGAAACAAATGTTGCGCTGTCATTGCTACATCACCACATCCCCATTCTCTCATATCCCCACTTCGTTGTTGTTACTGGCTCCCAATTCAGTCTGTGGCATGGAAATGATTAGTCGAGTCCAGGCCACATGTAAGCACACTAGCTGGAAGGGAGGTGTGACAATAGAGTATTAGGTCTTTTTAGCTTCCTATTAAGACTTACAGGGCAGGGAATTCCCTACACCTAGAAAGTATCATACACTATGCGGCCATAAAAGGGACAAACAAATCTACATTACAGTTCTTTAATTCACACTAACTGACTACAAAAGGAAGCAACAGAGGTTCCACAAAGCTTGCATTGAAACAAAACAACCAGCCCGGGCACAGTGGCTCATGCCTGTAATCCCAGCACTTTGAAAGGGCAAAGTGGGTGGATCACTTGAGGCCAGGAGTTTGAGATCAGCTTGAGCTAAATGGTGAAACTCCATCTCTACTAAAAATACAAAAATTAGCCAGCCATGGTGGCGGGCATTTGTAGTCCCAGCTACTCGGGAGACTGAGGCAAGAGAATTGCTTGAACCCAGGAGGTTTGGGTTGTAGTGAGCCAAGATCCCCCCACTACACTCCAGCCTGGGCAACAGAGTGAGACTTTGTCTCAAAACAAAGCAACAACAAAAAACAAAGAAACAAACAAAAAAACCCAAAATGACAAAAAAGTTTAGCTTTAAGTCTGTTAGGTAAGCAAGCTCCTTACTGGGCATTAATGAAAGCATTTTAGAGTTAATCATCTTCAACTGGTAACTAGGAAAGCATTTTGAGCTGGAGTAAAGTTTTATTTTAATTGTTTTCCAGAGAAATAATATGCACCTAAAAGGAAGCATATGACATTTGCTCTTAAAACTCATTACTACTTGACCTTTGAGATGTACTTAAATTCAAAGGGCACTTTGAGTCAGAGATATACAAAAGCAAACCAACTATTTTAAGCATCTTTAAAAAAATTTTCACCCACATATAATTCAAAAAAAAGGACAAACCTAGAAAAATATATTATTGACTCAAGATCAAGGATTCGAGATATTGTTATCATAGGCATTAGTTAAGAAATCTGTTCAAATAAACCACCAGCATGTAATGGAGTATGAGATTTTTGAAATTTTCCCTGATGTTAAAGCTTTACAGAAGAAACAACCTGAAACATAAATACAGATAAAGGAGTTAGCACATTATTTATATAGTATCTCCCTTCTTTTCCTTACCTGGAACTGTACTGAAGTAATGTTTGATGGCGATGGTCCCTGATAGAGTGGAAAGGACAGACAACATTCCTAGTTTTAAGCTGTCATAAGGAGTCTGGAGGGCACACTCACAAAGTGCCTGGAATGCAGAAGAGAAATGAATATAGAAGTTAAAAACATCAATATACTTCTAAATTGTCTACTCCATTTACATTTTCTGGTTTTTAGAAAATTATATATTAAGGACTTTTTTTCAGGTTAAAAAACTTAAGTCGAGGCCAGGTGCAGTGGCTCATTGCGGTAATCCCACCAGTTTGGGAGGTGGGAGGGTCACTCTAGCTCAGGAGTTTGAGACCAGCCTGGGCTCAATGTGAGGCCTTGTCTCTACAAAAATTCAAAAAATTAGCTGGGTGTGGTGGTACGTTCCTGTGGTCCCAGCTACTTGGGAAGCTGAGGCAGAAGGATCGCTCGAGCCCACCAGGTCAAGGTTGCCGTAAACCATGTTCACGCCACTGCACTCTAGTGGGGGGACAGAGCAAGACCCTGTCTCAAAAACAAAAACAAAAACAAAAAAAGCACTAAGTCAAACTTCCAAACTCCTTACGGGAGCCTAAGGAGGCAGGATAACTAAATGTAAACTGTGTTGATACATAAAAAGGACACTAGGTAAAAACTAAAAAATTATGAATAAAGAATGAACTTTGGTTAATAATAACAATGCATCAATATTGGTTCATTTATAACAAAAGTACTATACTACTGTAACATGTCAATAATAGGAGAAATGGTGGGGGAATGTGGGAACCCTGTGTACTATCTTCTCAATTTTTCTGTAAATGTAAAACTATTCTGAAACCCCCACCATATTTTGCTTACCTAAGAGAGATATGAATATTATTTCATATATGTGTAATTTTTAAAAATAACAGAGAATATGGAATTCTATCTAGTTTCTAAGCGAATAGAGCTATCTTCTCCTATTTCTGGTCTTTTACTCTACTCTTGATCAGGTAGTTTGAAGTATTACCAAAACTACGATGCTAGTTTTTCTTTCAATGCAGTAAACTATGAACATATAATCACAGTACAGTGACTCTTGCCTTATCCTTTATCACACGGTTCTGTATCATATGACTGCATGTAATGTAACAAGTCAAATAACTGTTTTGTTAAATTAATTTCCATTCTCCCACAAAGACAAAGGTTCAGAAAATAAGCAAAACTTAAAGTCTAAGGAAAAAGTTAAAAATAACATTTCAGAAAGGGTTAAAATAAATTTAATATGACCCTCAATAAAAATGTCAATAAAATTGCAGGACGATTTAGATTATCTGATTTTAAAGATCATGTGGAAAAATAAAAATCAGAAAACATCCAGAAAAACTGGCAAGGAATAGATTTAAATATATACTAGAATTTAATATATGATAATGGCACTTAAAATTAAAGATACCAGTTAAAACTACAAAGACAATTGACCAGTCATTTGGTAAAATAAAACTATATCCCTGTTGTTTTTTTTTTATGGCAAATAAAAAACCAAAACTGTAAAAAGTACTATGAGGTAACGTGGAACAATACAAAGATAAAAAGATAATTGGCAAACCTAGAAAAAAATATTCACATCATGTAACATCAGTAAAGGACCAAGAACCTTAATATATACAAAGTTCTGGCCGGGTACAGTGGCCCACGCCTGTAATCCCAACATTTTGGGAGGCCGAGGCAGGAGGACGGCCTCAGGTCAGGAGTTTGAGACCAGCCCGGCCAACATGGTGAAACCCATCTCTACTAAAAATACAAAAATCAGCCAGGTGTGGTGGTGCACGCCTATAGTACCAGCTACTCAGGAGGCTGAGGCAGGAGAATCGCTTGAACCCAGGAGACAGAGGCCGCAGTGAGCCAAGATCGTGCCACTGCATTCCAGCTAGGGTGACAGAGCCAGACTCCGTCTCAAAAAAAAAAAAAAGTGCTTACTAATAAATAGGCAAAAACTCAATAAAAATTTGGTATTTCACAGAAAGAATGCACACAAATATCTTTTAAATAAAAAGTCTAACCTCATTCATACTTTGAAAATTTTAAATTAAAATGTGTCACTTTTTAACTATCAGATTGACCAAGGTTAAAGTTTGATAATACATAACACTGAAGAATATGGGGAAATAGGTGCTCTCACACATTGTTGTTAGAAGAGTAAAATGGTATAAATCTCTCTGGTGAGTCATTGGTATTAATTCTCAAAAATTTTAAAATATCCATCATTAGACCTAGAAATTTCTTTTCTGAAAATTTATGTTCACAAAAGTGATTTTTCACAAACTATTCGATGTAGAAATGTCAACAGTAACAGTAAAAGTATCAGAAACAACCCTAATGTCTATCAGTGGGGAACTGGGTATATAAAAGAAGTTCCACATAGCTGATAAAAAAAAAAAAGTGCAGTAGATCTAGCTGCTAATATAAGATGTTTGGCTGGATGCGGTGGCTCACACCTGTAATCCCAGCACTTTGGGAGGCCAAGGCAGGCGAATGACGAGGTCAGGAGATCGAGACCATCCTGGCTAACATGGTGAAACCCCACCTCTACTAAAAAATACAAAAATTAGCCAGGCGTGGTGGCAGGTGCCTGAAGTCCCAGCTACTCGGGAGGCTGAGGCAGAAGAATGGCGTGAACCCGGGAGGCGGAGCTTGCAGTGAGCGGAGATCGCGCCACAGCACTCCAGCCTGGGCGATGGAGTGAGACTCTGTCTAAAAAAAATTAAAAAAAAAAAAAAATGTTCCCCTATATTCAGAGGTAAAAGGTTTAAAACATGCATGTAGTGTATTTTCACTTGTAAAGAAAAAAAGATGGGGCACACACAGGTTTTCATATTGATGAAAAAGTTTAGGAAGGTTACATAAGAAACTATTAACAGTGATCACTTCTGCAGAGGAGACCTATAAGAGATGACTTACATTTCACTCACTGTATACTTTTGAACTCTAGAAATTTTTTGTCAGGTGCATGAATACTTTTTTGACTGAAAGAAGGACCTAGTTAACAAGAAAAACAGCAGCAGCACAAAAATTATCAGGAAAGGAATGGAAATAGACCTGAAAGATGCAGTATGTTTCTGGTAACCGAAGGGAAGACAGTCTAGGTAATGCATACAACACATACTTTAGCACTTAGGCCAGAATATGGGGTGTTTAATTTTGGCCTGAGAGGAGAAATGTTCAAAAGGATAGAGGCTAAGATTGGGGGGGATTAGGCCAGATGATATAGGGCCTTAAAAGTTAGGCAATTAAAACCTAATGAAAAACGAAAAACAGAAGCCAGAGGAGAGGAATAATGGCATCTAAAGTGTTAGGGAAGATAATTCTGGCAAATGGTAAACAAAACAAAGTTAACAAAGAGAACTGAGAGTGAAGGATGCCAACCTATAGCCTCTGTCAGCAATCCAGGCAGGTGGTGATGATGGCCTGAACTAGAATTTGGTGGCAGGAATGGAGAATAGTGAATGAGTATGACAGACATTTTAAAAGAGATTACATATCAAGAAATGAACAAGAAGGATTCAATAATTATTGCAAACTTTCAAATCTAGTAACTAGATTCCATTTAAAAGATTGAAATTTATGGGGGATAAGTCAATTTTAGAAAAAGGACAGAAAATAGGATGAGATATGAAGTCCAAGAAGAAAACATCCACCAGGCATTTGGAATCTAAGATACAGCAAATTTTTAATTGGAAGACACACATCAGAATTCTGGCTCTGCCACCTACCATCTCTCTGATCTCAGCCAATTACTGAAATATTTGAGTCCCAACTTCTTTGTCTGTAAAATGGGGTATTTATAAAGAACTGCTGATTTTCATAAAAAACACCTCTAGAAAAATATACAAGAGATATTGGTTGCCACTGGGCAAAGGAGCTGTGTATATGACAGAACAGTAGGTGGGAAATAGTCACTATATATCCTTTTGTAGTTTTGGAATTCTGACCACACGAATGCGCTGGCATTTAAAAAACTGAATTAAAATTAAAAATCAAATGTAAGTGAGGTGACATCTACTGTCTGTAAGATTACAAAGCCACTGAAAGTCAAAGCACTTTGCAACCCATACAGGCTACTATGTTAGAGAACACTATAGAAGCTCAGGTAAAAGGATTAGATTGTCGGAGGCCCTGCAAACCAGCATTAAGAAAGGCCATAAGAATGACAGAGAACAACTGGTAGAAAGCAGAGAGCCATGGACTCAACTTGGAAGAAAAAGGGCAGTGAAGAATACAGAGAAGGTGCAGGTTAGGTAGTGTAATGAATGAGTGAGGACAGTTAAGTGCCAAAGGAAGGGGCAGGTTGACAGTGCCAAATGTAAAGTGCCTAAGCAAAGTGACAGGAAAACAGATCAAAATGCAAGTGTATAAAAGAAACAGCAGGGGATGAGGAAATAAAAGCAGATACAGATGCTGTTACTGAAGTTCAAAAGAATGTATTTTTAAAAAGTGATTATTATTTAATACTATAATTTATATTTATTTATTCAAGCACTTAGGCCATTTCCGTTTGTTCACTTTTTGTTACCTAAATTGGCCTGCCTTGTACTGTTAATTAACTTGTGATTAGGACTAATATCCTAAACCAAACAGTCCCACAAGTTAGGAACTACATCCTATATTTACATGTATTCCATATTATGTCTCAGATTGCTCTATGTATAATAGATATTTAGCCTTCTGTGATAATAAACTAGGTGAGACATTTTATATAAAATGACAATAATTTCAATAAGAATTTTACCATTTAAAAAACTGAATATTAGAAAATCTTGTGATAAAATTATTTACAACGTTATATTCTGTTTCTGTCATCTAGCACATTATTGGGAACCTAAAGCAGTCTCGGTAAATAAATACTCGTTTAAGCCTGGGTGCATAGCAAAGTCCTATCTCTACTAAAAAGTTTTTAAAAATTAGCTAGGTGTGGTGGGGCACATCTGTAGTCCTAGCTACTTGGGAGGCTGAGGTGGGAGAATCACTTGAGCCCAGGAATTTGAGGTTGTAGTGAACTGCAATTGTGCTACGGCACTCCAGCTTGGGCAACAGATTAAGACTCTGTCTTAAAAATAATAATAATAAAATAAAAAACACTGA